TTCAGCTTTGGAGATGGCTGTGGTTAGCAAGATATTTGCATTGTTAGTGCCAAACCACAGTTAGCAAACATGTTTCTGGTCGTAATTTCCATCTGTAGCTAACAAACATGTAAGTGCAGGTATATTGCTAACCATAATCATGATTTAGAAATAGGATAGTGTTTCAGCTGCACAAGGCCAAGTGACTGTGCTAAGAAAGGGGAGCTGGAAAGCAAGTTAACTAGTGTCAGTGTATACCAGTTTTCCACTGCTTTTAATGTATGCAACAACCACTAAACTTTGGCCCACTGAACAGTGTATTGAGCTTTCAGTGTAGATCAAATCTGAGCTCAGCCATGGATATGCTTTTGTGTACCTCCCCACGAGGCATTTTTGTAATATGATTTGTACGTATAAATGTGAAATACATTATTGGCTTTGTCTTAAAACAAGTGCTGAAAAATATTATTTTCTTACAGACTTTTGCTCTGTACCATCTGGTCTTATGAACACATGAGCTGTCTTATATTGTGACAGACCACTGTTGCATCAAAGTCAGTACTGTCTACTCTAACTGGGAACAGCTCTCAAGGGTCTCAGGTGGAGTGCTTTCACATCTCCTAGTACCTGATCTTTTTAGATGGACATGCCAAGGAATGGAACCTGGGACCTTCTATGTGCCAAGCAGATATTCTGCCACTGAGCTACAGCCCTTTCTTTCCAGATATCTTGTTCTAATATGTTGCAAAATTTGTCTTGGTGACAACTGGAATTGCCAGCCCCCTCCACTGGAGACAGGGATCCCCCGCTGCCAGGCCCCACCTCCTACCACCAATCAGCTGGCCAGCGAGGGAACTTATCAAGAACACGAGGGAGGCCCAGGCTACATTGCCAGTGACATGGCAAAATCATTTCCAGTGTGTACCAGAAGTGATGGCATCACTTCAGCAATGTTATGGTGATGCTCTGGCATTTGGGGAAAAAAGCTCTGGTAGAAGCCATTTTTACCATAGAGTTTTTGTCTTAATACCAGAGTGTCACTGTGACGTTGCAAAGTGATGATGTCACTTCCCATACACCAGAAGTGATGTCGCCAGCAATGTAGCCTGGGCCTTCCTCCTGCTCCTGGAAAATCCCCCCATCCCCTGTCAGTTGCCAGGAAGGACCTGGAAACCCTAACAACAACCCCGCAAGGAAAGTTGTTATTTGGGTGACCTGTTCAAAACCCACTCAGTAAACTTAATGGTTTAGGCAACACCAATCCAATGCTAATCCAAATCCAACATTCTGTCAGTTAGCTTTTAGAAAGAGCAATAAGTAGTTCTGCAGTACAGATAACAAAGTGTCATCTTCAGTTGTAAGTGGAGCCTAATTTCTAAGTTTCAAACTGTGATAATTATATCTCATGTTGAGGTGGAAAATTCATTATATTGTATATTAAAGTACTTAAGTTAAAAACAAAAGTATTCCAATTACCTGCCAATCACAGAAAATTGCACACTTTTTTTGTGAGATGGGTAGCAAAAATAGAAGCATTACTTTATGAAGTTATACATTCTGAAGTACAGGTTGTTCTGCTCTATAGTTTCTACAACATGGTTTCCGTTAACAGAGCAAGTATAAGCCTATTGTGTCTCCATGAACTCAATTTAATGTAATGTTGTTATTGCTAAAATTGTATCCCTCTCTTCCATTGAGTTCATAGGAGTCACTTAGGCATACAAAATCCTTTTTAGGCTGAAAGCCTATACAGCTGACAGAACTAGCTCAGAGTGAGGTTTCTCCCCTTCTTCCCCCAAGTAGCTTTGCCGTGTTTTTACCCTTTTAAATGGTAAGGAGGATTTTATTACAGATCAGTTGCAAACATGTAGCAAATAGTCATCTTTTGTATAATACATGCCTATGATATATCTCAAACATAGGTCAGTGAAATAAGCACACTATATATGACAATGCATAAACTCCTGATTCAATGACGTAAGCGAATATGCATTTAATACGGTATACAAGCCAGTCCTCACCACACTATATTACAATCCATCAGTCAATAATTTATTAAGTCCATGGACCAGCAGAATAAAACATAGATTAACAGAGTAATTATAAGGAATGAATATATATAGGCAACACCAATTTATATATATGTGTGTTATTTTTTTTGGGTTTGGGTATATTAAACCCCAAAAATATCAGTATTTCCCAATATTCCGAAATCCTAATATTGGTATGGTATTGGGATTTGGGAAATAACCGGGATTGCTGATTTTTTTCTGGCTCCATTATACCCTTGGGGACCATTTCCTATAGGCAATAATGGAGAATTGATTCAGGGGTATCTGGGGCTCAGGGGGCCTGTCTTTTGAGGTAGAGGCACCATATTTGCAGTATAGCTGCTGTTTCCTCTCCTCAACCCCCCCCCCCCCAGTTTCAAAAAGATTGGACCAAGGGGTCCAATTCTGTGAGCCCCAGAAGGAGGTGTCCCCACACCCTCCATTGTTTTCAGTGAAGGAAAAAGGCACATAAAGGGATGCCGTCCCTTTAAATGCTTCTCCAAGCCATGCCACGAGTCCAAAGCAGCAAGCTCACCTGGAAGCCGTCCGGGTGAACTCACTGTTTCAAAAAGGCATGGAACTCACTGCTTGCAAAAATGCCTTTAAAAGTCCCAGCCAAGCTGCAAAGAGCTGTCAGCTCTGTGCCACCCCAGCTGATCCTCACTTGCAGCTCCCAGCATGGAACTGAGAGCTCTGTGCCACCTCTGCTGGAGCTTGCTCACAGTATAGCTGATCCGTCCAGTGAGGCACGCAAAGAAGCGGTTCTGACTGTGTCCAGAAGAGATTTTTTTTTTTATTAACAGAAACTCAAGGGAACTCAAGGGAACATTAACAGAAATTCAAGGGAACATTACTAACATATTAACAGAGAATTATATGTGACTGAACTAAGAAAAGAAGTTTGACAACACACAGAAGAAGCCCAAGAAGATTAATTGGACATTACTAACAGTTTAATTTACCAGTTTATATATCACTCAGCTTCTTTCTCCCGCTGTCTACCCTTCCCTTTTTTTTTCTTTTAAGCGAAATACCTCCCCTTTTTAGGGGAGCTAATAAAATCTTTACAAAAAAAAAAAAGGATAAGTGCCAAGTTCTACTTCTGGATAACAAAAATGCATACTGAATGGAGGATACACTTCTGGGTAGCAATATGTGTGTGAACAAGATCTTGGGGTACAGGTGGGACCATAAGTTAAATACGAGCAGCCAGTGTGATGCAGTGACAAAAAAGGCTAATACGATCTTGGGGTGTATCAACAGAGGCACAACATCCAAATCGCAAGATGTCATAGTCCTGCTGTACACTGCATTGGCCAGGCTGCACCTGGAGTATTGTATGCAGTTCTGGAGACCTCACTTCATAAAGGATGTGGACAAAATGGAACGGGTCAGAGGAGAGTGACGAGGATGATCAGGGGCCTGGAGACCAAGCCCTATGAGGAAAGGCTGAGAAACTTGGGAATGTTTAGTCTTGAGAAGCGGAGGTTGAGAGGAGAGATGATTGCTCTCTTTAAGTATTTGAAGAGCTGTCACTTAGAGGAGGGTAGGGAGCTGTTCCTGTTGGCAGCAGAGGAGAGGACTCACAATAATGAGTTTCAGTTAAGGGCAGGAAGATGCTGGAACTTAGGAAAAACTTTTTTACAGGAAGAGCTGTGCAGCAGTGGAATCAGCTGCCTAGGGAGGTGGTGAGCTTCCCCTCACTGGCTGTCTTTAAGCAATGGCTGGACAAACACTTGTCAGGGATGCTCTAGGCTGATCCTGCATCAAGCAGGGGGTTGGACTAGATGGCCTTTATGGCCCCTTCCAACTCTGTGTTTCTGTGATTCTATGAGCTCAGCTATATTGGTAGCCAAATACAGTTCTCTTATCTATATTCGGCTTAAGTAATACACGAAAGGTATTTTTCGGGTATTTATTTGGTTCGGTTTATACCAAATGCACACCCCTAAGTAGACTCTGGCAGCTGCACAGAATCTAATAACTCTGTCCAAGGTTCCAGATTCAAGGTCTGCAAGAAGAAAAGAGATATTCCATTCCTCTGATCTTTCTGGGATTTTTTGGAGGGTGGCTGTAATAAATGTATATCTAAGGTCATTATAGGAGGAGCATGCAGCAGCACATGTCCAGCCCTTTCAATAATGCAATTGACCAGTGTCCTAAATTCAATATAGAAGCTTATTTTTAACATGTTCCATAGCCTGGGGTATGGATAGTCCACTGCCCATGGCTTAAATTGACTGTCTCCTGTAAGAAGGCAGGGAGGACTCTTACTGGTCTGCATCATGTGGTGTTACGTGTGCGTTTAGTTCCAGTTGCTCACCTGTGAGACTCTTAACTTTAGTGTTTTGAAATAATCTGTCATTTCATTGGTTTGAGTAGAAAATGTCAAAAATATGATTGCAGTGATCACGGGAAGGAAACTGAAGACAAATTCAAATATCCAGATGCATTTGGAAGAGACTGACTTTGTGCCTCACCCTAAATTAGATTCTGCTTTTGGTATGCCAGTATATGCTCTCAATGTGGATTGGAGGTGATGTACTAAGAAATGAGCTCTGAACACTGAGGCCCCTGCATGCAACCAGCTTTCCACAAGCTAAAGTAGCAGGTAGCATAAGGTGTTTCACACAGCTTCCATGCACTGAAATAATTGAGACTATAAGGATAGGTTGGAACTGGACTGGAATATGGTCGGGTTTCTACTGGGGTTTTACTAGTTAGTTGATGTATATAGATCCATGTAGTCTGTTCAAGGTTTTAATTTATATGGCGTTTGCAGAATGTTCAGACCAACAGCATTCTCAGATCAGCAGTAAACCTTGAGGTGGGAGTGTACAAAGGCACCCTGTTCTAGTAACCTATTAGATAAATTAGGAGAATAAGAAGGTTTACGGTTTATGGAGAGATTATCCTGCTCTTCTGCATATGGCAGTGCTGATTAATGCTGCATGTTTCTTTTAATCACAGGGTTTGTAGGTGAAAATGCTCAACCAATCTCAGATAGCAACATTGGCAACCGGATGCTCCAAAGTATGGGCTGGACGCCTGGCACAGGCCTTGGACCAGACGGCAAAGGGATAGCCGAACCCATCCGAGCAATGCAGAGGCCAAAGGGACTTGGACTTGGATTCAGCTGACCAAAAGGCACTCCAGATGCTGTTCCAACATCAAGACGGATGTTCAACCTTAGCTTTGAAATAACTGAAAAAAATTATTCTGCTGTCCTCAAAAAAATCCAGTGTTTCTTACTGTAACTTTTGAATACAGAAGTGTCAATGTTTTCTATTGAAGCCACAAAGGCCAACCGTTATGGCAGTGCAGATGTCTGAATCCTAACTCTGTTACGGTGCTAAAATTTGAAGTTGTACTTTTTTATTTGGTGCAGTCTTAACCATTTCTATTATCAAAAATTCTGATTGAGCTGTTTCTCTTCTGTTCCCCTAGGTAAAGCCTTGTCTGCATGCATACACCTGAAGTGTTTTTGAACCACTCATTCATACAACAGTTTTTACAGGCTTAATTATCATGATGGACTAACCCTTGGCAAACTGCTTGTTACTACTTTAGACTATAAGGATGAAGTCTAGTAGACAATCTGTTACACATCTCCCATTTATTTCAATGGAGTTTGTGTTGGAATCCTGCACAAAGCCCATAACAATAAATGTAAGATGAAGAATTGCAGAAGTGGATTGTTCACTGGAACTGCTTCAGTGTAGAGTTGTTACCAGGACAGGGAGACATAGCTTCCATGAAGGAGTGACAGATTTCACATTATTAAAACAATGGCAGACTTGCTTCTGTGGCAACCAACAATCTTGCTATTGTTTTCTATGTAAACTTATAAAGCCTTAATGGGCAGTTCTCGTCAAGTGTTAGTGCTATTTTAGGCCAACATTTTATTATTTAACATTTCAAGATTTGCAGATGACTTAACATGGTCATCTGTTGTTCCCCAGCATGCAGGTTTGCACGAGGAACGCATGACATATAATAAGTCTCTCTTCCAGCCAGTTACAGCATGTAACCCCATCCTCTGTGTTCACCTAAATACATGCTCTGCAAGTACGGCTGTTATTTTGTTTTTTTTAATCTTAAATGTCATTCATTTGAAAGGAAGGATCTTAAGCAAATTGTACTATCATCTTTCACCCGATCACTGCGAGTGAATGTGTATCTTGACTCATGATTAGCTGAGTGGATTTTAAATGAGACAGTTTTACTAGAGCTTTTTAATTTTAGTAATAATATCGGAGATGTCCTTAGCTGACAAATGGTGGCTGCCAAGAGGTGGTTACATCTTATTTGTGGCTACGTGTTCTTAAAGGGAGAAAACAAGCTGAAATGGCGATGTTGGGAATGCTTTGGTAATATTATCTGCCATAACTCCCAGATTAATATCTTAGTTTGCTCTTGTGCTGACAGCTCAAATTCATTAAAGAGGCCATCTTATAGCAGTGGTGTAAGAGTTTATTTCAATAGCTATGTGAGCTTGATCTAATTATTCCTATACCCCAAAGTAATCGCCTTAGACGTCATATTACATACTCTTTGCCAGGATACAGCCATATTCAGATTTCATACATCCCACTGCCCTGTTACGTCAACATTCCCAGAGAAACCCTACCAGAAACAAAGGCTTTCCACTCTTTTGCCTTTAAGTTCAGTAAAGGAAGCAGATAAGGACCATTCATATAAAAGTCAGTTCCTGGATTCTGTCTTATGCCATTATTAACCATCACTATATAGTGAGGAAGAAATGGAACCAAGACAGGGACAGGCTCAGCTTGGATGTAGAAAACAGTAACACCCAGACATTAGGATATTTGTAATATATTTGCTGCCCCCACTTTACGTCTGACAACCAACCTACGCAGATTTTCTTTCTTTCTTTTGCTCTTCTGCGTCTCACCTAACAAGATGCATGCTACCTGGCTGAAGAGTGAGTCAGAAAGAAGCCTAGGGTGATCAGATCTCTGAGGTTCTACTTTTAATATATGGTTAGTTCTCCTTTACCAACTAGATTATTTTTCCAAGTTGATTCCATGTAATTACATGACAAAGACAAAAACAGAACTAACATACAAAACTAGTATGTTCTTTTTCTGTATTAATTACATTTTAAAATTGACAATCCATCTAGGCTGCTGTAACTTGTTCTGATAAATGACAGAGCATTTTAATGTGTTGCAAAGATAAGAAACATTACAGGAAGGAGTTAATATTGCATCAAGGAAAATGGGAAGGAAAATAAGACATTTGTTTTTCAGTGAGTCGTCTAAATAAATGTGTTTAGAGTTCAAGTATAGTAAGAATGCTATGTTACTTTCAGTTCTCCATATGTCCCATTGAGGATCTTTTTGCAATAAATTTTAACTAAGCAGTTTATGAATTATTATTCTGTACATAGCTCTTACTGAAGCTGTGGTCTCAAATAGTTGTCTTCACCTTTTTTGATGCCTAAGACTTTCAATACCAAACCATAGATGGTCCCCACTGTTTAAGCTTTAACCATGTGTTACTCCTGTTCTATCATACCCCCCACTGCCACCTTATCTTTCTTCTCTTAAAATAAAATACTAAAACCAAATAAAATTGTAACATCGCTTGTACAATCCTCCCTTAGGTCAGGGTGAAACTGGTGGTCCTGACCCGCTAGTTGAACCCCAGTGGTCTGTGAGAGTTACATTTGCAATGTTCAAGAGATGAGAATATCAGAAAAAGATTACTCCAGGAAGGACCATGCTGCAATTACATTAACTGACTTTTAGAAGCAAATAAAGCAAGCCCCCTGCCAAAAAAAAGAGAGAGAGAGAGGGAGGGAGCCAGGAACAGAACCCAACTGCTGAGAGGAAGGAAGGAGAAGCAACCAGAAAAAAATTATTACACCCCCCCCAAAAAAAAGCTACAAGACACAGAAAGGTTATGCAATTAAGCAACAAAGGAGCAGAAAGTTTCTTTCACAGAACTGAATAAAGTTGGCAAACAGTTTTATGCCAAGTGCAGAGAATCCTTATAATTATGTCCTGGAAAAGCATTTGATAAATGAGAAGGCTGTTGTTCATGAAAACACTGTTGATTCCATGCTTCCTTATTACTACCAAACCAAGATCATTATGTTTCTGTAGTAGAAAAAAATAGCTGAGGAAAGTAATATTTGTCTCAATAGCAATGCCCTTCTTCCCAATCTTTACCCTTTTCGAAACCCATTGAGGAAACTGATGTGCAGCGATTAGTACACATGGTTTCCCCAACAGGGCATACAGACCCCTCCCCAGACTGTTTTGGCTCAGGAAAACAGTTTGGAGGGCTTAAGTCCTTTCTCTTCCCTATGTACCATTCAAATTGACTCCTACCCACCAGGCATGGAACTCTGCATCTCTGATCACCCAGGCCTGGGTAAGATACAAGGAAAACAAAACATATAGTTAGCCCCTAAGAGAAGGTGGGATGGAACCAATTGTTTACATTTCAGGTAGTAACATCAGTTCAAATAAAAATCCAGAACTATCTTTTGTTATGACTGACAAAAATGACACAAAACACAAGCTTTGGAGTTCTTCAGAACTCCTCATCAGGATGAATATTTTAAAAGCAGGATGGGGAGAGTTGCTTCAGGCCATGATCTTGAGGCCGTTTGGTCCATCTTGGCAAGTTAAGCACACTTAGGAAGCACTGAGGTGCAGGAACGAGTTGGTATCAGATACCCTTGACCTTGTGGGAAGGGGAGTACCATAATGCTGTATAATGTTCAGATGAAGCTGATGGCTTTCCAAGAACAGAGCAGTGTACATAAACAGAATTTTCGCACATCTGCTAGTTCCTCTTGCATTGGCATGGATCCAGTGATGCTGTGGGTAAATGGACTTAATGCTGTTCCACTGGCCCAATATCTTGTGCAACACCTAGCACTTTCCTCTCTGTGTGTTAGTTGTCCAAGATCTTACACAAGTGGGCATACAGTAAGTTTGACAGAGTACAAGCAAGCTGTCGTGGTCTTTTTCTTGCATTTCCAAGACTGTAACTTAAGTAGAAATTTTTCACTGGATCCTTCCCATTGTTTCCTTTTTTTCTCATATGATATTTGAAAAATAATCTGGATTGAAACTTCTTATCACACAGTTACTCATCTCTTATTTCTAGTGAAATTTTCACTTCCAACCAATGCTGAGCAATATACCGAGCAAGTGTGAGGAGAGTGGAGGCAAGAATGTGCTCAACCTCCCTGCCGGCCCAGTGCATCAGCCCTATCTTTTAAGACAACCATCTGTCCAACCAGGCGCATAACATTTGAGAAGAACCAGATTGAATCCACACAGGCTCAGATCACTTGGTTGATTACTGGACTTTATTAACATACCCACAAACCTCTTGGACCCATCCATCTTATATGTTACACTGCAATTTTCCATCCAAGCTACTTTGCCAGCATGGGCTGGTGAAGTACCATTGAAAGCTGAGAGGAAAAAGGAGGTAACAAATTGCTTGAGGAACCTACGACCTTTTCTCCTAGAAACCACAGATAGAGAGACAGCACTGATTTCTCCTGCTATTATAACATCAACTCCCTATGTCTCTGATAGCGGTAACTATTGTAAAACCAATACATGCATGCATCTTGGGCCTGCTGACATGCCTAGCAATCAGCATGCCTCAAACAAAGCATCAAAGGCTGATATGCTCAACGGCCTGAGAAGCAAAGGGTTAAGAATGAACTTTGGCTTGTATAAGTGCACAACTGCAGGAGTTGATGAAAGAGGGATACACTTTTCAAGTTCTGGAAAATTTGGTGTACTTCTCACAAATATGGCTACTAGTGTAGTTACAGCTGAGTTGTACTAAAAGGGAGAAAGCAGATGAGGGAAGAGACCATTGTCAGAGGCAAGGCTCCCAAAGAGTTCAGATAGGAAAGCAACAGAAGCCAAAGGAAAGAAAAATGATACAAACCCCATCTGTGATTTTTTAAAAATGTGGCTGGCATGTAGCTACAGCTACATTTCCATATGCATTCCCACCATTTGGTGTGCATCTAGCCAGTAATGCACTGATCAATATAGCAGGGATCCCACTACAGAAAATGTCCCTGCATCACTCTTCAGTTTTGAGCTGTTCCCACCTCCCCACTGCCACACTCTTTTGCCATCCCCATTCTGATTCCTACTGCAATGTGCTTCTATGTACATAGAGCTAGTGATCAAAATGTGCC